GATAGTACAAATCTGCCATGCCAAACCCCACAACAATTTAATAAAAGTAATTGCTCACTTCTGGGATTTCAAACCAGATTAAGAATCATCTGTTGCGACGTTCATCAAGGAATATCAAAAACGATATCAAGCTCTTAGAGATCACTCTACCATGACGTCCAAAGTTCTATTTCAAATGAAACACATGCTCCTACATCGTCTCACCAGAATTAATTCAGAGTTAGCAAATCGCTGTCGCAATTTTTCTTTTGATGAAATTATTTCTGAATGTCTTGAATGGTCCTCATCTGAAAACCCAAAAAATAAATCTGATGGCAATTATCTCAGTAACCGTACAAAAATTAGATGCTCTTTCTGTAATATTCAAGGTCATAAAGAAGAGGATTGTCGGAAGAAAAAGAAATCGCAAAAAGGGCAATCAGAAATGGGAAAGCACAAACAGATTCTCTCATTAGACAGAGTTATAAGTAAATCTAATTATCAGTTAGATACCGCCGCAGACTTCCACGTCTCGGGTAATAAAGATGAATTTTCCTCCTACTCTAGATTTTTTCAAACTATACGTGTAGCTGGGGGGGCTTAGTACACATCACTGGAAGTGGCAGTTTACTACTCCCTACATCTGACAATAAACTTGACACACTTCAGGGTGCAATATATATTCCCGGTGAGAAAACTAGAATTCTTTCCACAGCTCAACTTGAGCGGCAAGGTTATTCCATAGTCTGGCCACCTGAATATCAAGACGTTCTATTACTTAGCCAAGATAAAACAATTTGTGCGAAATTCACTCGCATATCAGGTCGTCTCATATGGAAGCCTTCCGGTAATATCAAAAGTGCACCCAAAGTATATTCCATTCAACGTGATTGGCATTCAGTACTTGGTCATCCAGGACAGAAAGCACAGGAAGCTACGTTAAAAATGGCTGGCATTAAAGGATATAAGTTTCCAATCAACTGCCAAACATGCGCAGAAACTAAAATCACTATTTCAAAAGGCCATGGGACACTTCGAAGCTCATCCGCCTTCGCTCAAGCCATACAAATGGACCTAGTCGGCGGACAAAAAGCTCTCGCTCCAACAACTACCGATAAAACAGTCCCAATTGCGACTTGGTTTCTCCTTGCAGTCGATGAGCACACCTCCTACAAATGGACGTGTCCAGTTTATACCAAGAAAACTGTACCTACTCAAATAAGTCATCTTCTTCAACATCTAAAAGCTAAATTCAACAAGGTCCCGATTAAAGCCCACATATTACGGTTTGACCGTGGTTTGGCTTAGGTGGAGACCTAAGCAGAGTTTGGGAGCGTATTAGGGAGAGTGTTACATATTATCTTGTATCAAGCGACTAAGTTTCACTTGGCCACATTACATTAGAGCCAGGAAGGAATGTGAGACGGCGAAGCAGAATTGCCAAGTGAGAGAGTCAGCTAGATGGCAAAGATGACGACCGGCAGTGGCGGAGCAATATGTCATTCTCACCAACAGAGTACGTACTGGATGAGCTAGAAGGATGTACAAATAGTCATTGCCCGTAGTTGTGGTACTTCTCTCTTCATATAGTTTAATCTTTCTAAAAGTACACCACAACCAGCTTGGTTTCGTCACACCACACAGATAGTGTTACAGAATTTTCCAATTCAAAGCTTCAAGAAAAGCTTCTTTGTCGTGGTATCGAGTGGCATCAATCTTCGTCACACGCTCCTGAGCAAAACGGAAAAGCGGAAAGAAATATTCGCATTGTTATATAGAAAATGCGAGCCCTACACTTGTATTCGGGACTACCGCTCCGCCTCTGGCCTGTTATATTGACTGCCGCAATCAACATTCTGAACATGACGTCTAATAAAGTATCTCCAAATAGTCCCTATCATGCGGTCTTCCAACGAAAGCTAAATATCCTTAGTCTCCATCCTTTTGGATATAAAGCGTTCTGGTTAGAACCTGAACAAAATAAGTTAGTCTCCAAAGCCAAAGAGGGCATTTATGTTGGTACAGAATTCACTGGAGGTCATGTCATACTTAATGCTGAAACCGGGAGAACAATTGTTCGAAGAGATATTCGCGTGCATGATAAAATATTCCCTCTAGTAAATCATATACTTTCAGTAAGGACTAATAATCGTTTAGTAATAGATAACGCAGTGTCAGGACCTAAAGCTGAAGGATGGATCAAAGCTATGGACACAGAAATTGACAACATGACGCGAAACAATGTATGGACACTAGTGCCTCGAACTGAAGCCAAGGGAAGACTAATGACCGGTATCTGGTCTCTTAAAGAAAAATCAGACGGAAAACTGAAAGCTAAATGGTGCGCACGAGAATTTTCTGAATCCCATGCGAATGATACATACGCCGATGTTCTTCCGCCAACAACTATGCGAATGCTACTAGCGCTTGCTGCCACGAAAGATCTTTATATTAGCCACGTCGACATCACTGCAGCTTTTCTGCATGCCGAACTTGATAGTCCTCTGTATATTGAACAGCCTCACAGAAGAGAAAAACCGGGAAACCTTGTCTGTAAACTTCATAAAGCCATCTATGGACTAAGAATAGCCCCAAGACGATGGCAACAAAAACTTAAGAAAGTGTTGCATGATGCAGGATTTCAAGCCTTAAAATTTGATGGCAATGTATTCCGGTTACATAATACAATCATCTCCACATGCGTGGACGACTTTATGATTTTGAAGAAATCTAAAGCGCAAATTGATGAAACCACTGATATACTATCAAAGGCATTTCAAATTAAAGACCTGGGCAGTATGAAGAAATTTCTCGGCATAAATATTCGTCAAGAATCAGATGGAATACGTATCGATCAAACTGATAAGATAGAGACCTTGTGTGAAGATATGGGCATGGGCATATGTAAAGGCGCAAATACTCCAGTTGTGGATGATAACCTTATCGATTGTGATAAGAATTTACTCTGCAATATTGATGAAGCCAACAAGTATCGCTCACTCGTTGGTTCACTCTTACATATAGCAAGAATGATTCGCCCTGATATCCATTATGCCGTAAATAGACTCTCCCGGTATGTACAAAACCCCTCTAAAAATGCGATACTCGTACTCAAACACCTAAATCGGTACATGTCGCGCACAAAATCAGCCGCTCTATTCTACCCTAAAATAAAGAATGCAGCTCTTACAGCATCCTCAGATGGCAGCTGGGGAAGCGCGACGTCCTCAAAAGGCACAACTGGGAATCTATTCCTCATTGGTGACTCTCCAATTGCATGGTGGTCAAAGAAGTATACCGTTACAGCACAAAGCACCTGCGAAGCAGAATGCGCCGCCCTAACGTCACTGGCTATCGCCGCACGATGGATCCGACCATTATATGAAGAAATTTTTCTTGTTGCTCCTACTACAGTTACTACACAGATAGATAATACTGCAGCAATGATCACAGCATCCTCCAATAAGATTTCGGCGCGAAACCGGCATTTCCTAATGCGAGAATCTGCTGTTCGCGAGGCCATCAAGGATGGTACTATAAAGCTAGTTTATACACCCACAGATCAATGTAAAGCAGATGGACTTACAAAAGCACTGCAGCGTATAAAACATACGGCCTTCTGTGCTCAGATTAATGTAGATCTAAAGCATTCAATTTCTGGGGGGGTGTAGTGGTGGTTCGCCACATCCCACGTGAACCGTCTCACGTGATATATTGTTCATATAAAATTAGATAGAAACACACAATAAAATTTCCATGCTTCATCTCTACAAGAATTTCTGTATCACTCATTATCATACATTGCTTCTTCTGGTATATTAATGACCTCTCGAGCCTTAGCTTTTTCTTCAGATCTTAATAAACCGCCTAAAAATTAAGGTCTTCCCACTCTCGAATAACTCGTAGCTCTGCAGGTGACCGAGGCGTTATCTGTCCATTTTATCGCCTTGGACGGTTCATGCAGCTCAAGTGGGTTGACTCGTGCAGTCCAGCATAGTTTAAATATTTGGGGGTGTAAACCGTGCATTCGGCTACTTAGTGCGTGCCAGAATACTTTACACACCGCTGTCCTTTAACGTAGTTCCTTGTTGAGTGATAACCCCAGCAGCGTTGACATTTTTCGATAGGGCATTTACGAGAGAGTGGTTTGGCTGACTCACACTCTTCGAATAGTCTAAACCTTGGGTTAGCTGGTAACTGTTTTAAGTGTGCGATTCGAATAGTGGAATAATGTCCTAATTTTGTATTGTTTGTGCGCACTTGTATTGGCATGGCGCCACAGACTTCATGGGGTTCAATCTCCACCATTCTCCTGGTTATTCTAATTCTTCCGTCTAACGTACGGATGCAGATTGGGACATAAGGGACCATGACGGACGACCAGTCTGACGCAGGTCCAATTATGATTTCCTCCTGTTGGAGTGAAGGACCCACACTTAGAATTGATTCCCTGAATGCTTCTGATGGGCACTCCATTGCTAGGCAAGACCTAACTTATGTCGTAGCTGTAGTTTCTGAAGGTGCGACCCCAGTCTTCTCGGTAACAATCTTCTATGCAGAGACAGTTGATAATTTGCGCAATTGATATTCTCTTCCCATTCGAGGAAAAATTTGTATATCCTCTTTGGGAGGCTCTTCTCCTGCTGTTCTTGTCTGAATAACTGGCCTTCGTTTTACTAGGTTAGTTGGCGGGTCCGAGAGCTTGGCCGCTTTCCATGCAACAGTGACCCACGAAGAAGCAGTCTCCTGTGGCTTTTAGGCAGTTCATGAGGCGGTTTATCGACTTATTTGTCACCCTTGGCACAGAGGCCTCTATGTGAATGGCTAGAGACTGGTTGATCTTGCCCCGCGCTTTCAATTTCCAGGTATCTTATGCCATATCTGGTTAGACTATTTGAACTCTCAGTCTTAATAAAGACAGTCAAAAGAATGATATGTATACTCTCACATGCCCCACCTGTACAGATGCCTGGTGAAGTTTAACATCAATTTCAGCCCGAATTATTCAGCAGGGCTAAGGTATGGTTACGATGAAGAGCATCGAGGAGGGTAAACAAGAACTACAAAGGTCAGTCAGTCAGCTTTTTGCTCTATTGGACCAGAAAATAAAGTCGGGTTTGTCTCTTCTGTGAGCATAACGTTCAAGGATTAAGTACTGAAATATTGTGCAGAACCCAACTCTAAATCAGTTACTGTTATTGAAAAGGAGAAGCTACGAATTCTTCAAGAGGACTCGGCACGCGTTAAAGATCTTATTGATGACAACGAACGACTCGCCAACGAGCTCGAAAGACTCAGGACAGTCACTGCACTAGATGAATCCATTAAATATGATAACATTAGTTCATCAAGGAAATCTGGATTCAAGCTGACGAGGCCAAAATCTTTAGACTCAGATATCCTTAGAGCTAACGGCATCACTGGCTCTAAACAACTTCCCGACTTTCAAACTTCAAATTCTAGTGTCCAGAAGACTGATTATCAACGCCTAGTTCAGAAGTATCACATACTTTCAGAAAATTGCAACCAGCTACGAGAAGCTTGGAAACGAATAGAGTTTAAATTGAGAGAACAAAAACAAAAATGTCAAGAGTGGGCTTCTCTATTGGACCGGAAGAATGCTTACATCCAAGAAAAAAACCGGACGATTAAGGACCTTGAGCTAGAAATTAGAGAACTAAAACATGCACTGGCAGAAAACAACACGGCTTTGATAGTGCCTACAAAGGAGCTTACCTACTTCACCCAATCATCAGACTCAGTCAATGAAAGAAACTTATCTTTAGCGCTTCCTGATCAGAATAATAGTAGAGACCCTGATGCAACTAAAACCCCAGAATTAATGAATTCAGATATCTTGGATAATAAATCTCCATCAGGCATGGGGGCTTGTCAGCCATTACTTCCAGCTCTGCCTATTCTACCTGATAATAATGATTGTCAGAGCTCAGAAATGAAATCTTCTGAAAAATGTTACGTTAGCTCAACAGCTAGTTCTTCAATGTCATCGCCTCTTCAGAATCTTGGGAGTAATCGCGAGATGTTGCCAAAGCTAAAAAAACTACCAGAAAAAAAATTATTAAGTTCTACGCAGAGAATACCAAAGCGGAAATCCCGTGAGAGGGAAGATAATAGTGCGCACACAAAAACTAAAGATACCTCAAGTAGTCCTGCAAATATCCTTAAAACCAATTGTCTCCATGAGAGCATCGAAGTCAACGATCTAGATGAAGAGCGTCCCGACTCAAGAAAAAAGAAATTCTTAGGATCGTCAGGAGAGCCAAAACGCATCTTCAGAACTTCAAACAAGCGATTATGGCCTAAAAATGGTTCATCAGGCTACATAGATAGAATTATAATCGATAGGTCTCAACATTTAAATGCGCTCAAATTGCCAAGGGAAATAGATACTAAGCTAAGTATAATTCCGCAAAATAATTTTGAAAATATTTCAGTTCATAGTTCTGCCAGTAAATCTTCAGCTAAGAAGTCTCAGTTAACGAGCAATCAAGAATCTGAGAATGCTTCCATAAAAAATACAGCTGTTGAGAACGATTTCGTTATGACTGTACCTGAAAACGAAAATATTCTTAGCCAATTCATTGATTCATCCCAAATTCTAGCTGTAAATTCCCCAGTCGTTCCAACAAGGCCCAAAAAAAATACCAAGGATTCCGATATAAGATTAGAGATTCCTTGTGTTTCGGAAACCAAGGAAGAAACTCCACCATCTTCTCCACCTACTATTGAGACCATTCATGAACCTGTGGAAATGAAGAGTCAACTCTTCAGCAAGGATTCTCCCCAGGAAATGTCTACAGCTTCCCGCAACTCCTACACATTCAAAATCGACGGTTACGAGGGACATAAAAACAAATCCCCTTTTTCTAGAAGATGTGCAAAACTGAAATCAGAAAATACTAGGAAAAAGAAATATCTATATAAAACTCCGCTTAGGAATCGACCAGTTGAAGATCTTAATAGTCGGGACTTTAAAATTAACCCGGCCTATAACCAGGGCTTTAAGTATGCATTTTCAGAAGTTGTTCGTGGACATTTACGTGATAATCTACAAGGCTGTTTAAAACCATGCTGCGCGCCACAGTATCGAGCTTTGGCTGAAATGTCTTGTAACCAAAATAAATCACCTACGAGCTCACAAGAAGAAAAGAATCGGACTATAATGAAGGAATTTCTGGGTGACAATGCCTACAAACTAAAGAATATGGGTATCGAGGAGAGAAGAGAACTTCTTATCCAAGCGAGAACAAGAAGTCTTGCGAACAAGCACGGTAGACATCGACATGCATATGAGGCTCCTGAGTCCCCAGTTGGTATTTGGAGAGCTGATTTTCCAAGTACACAAGAAGCTATAGAGGATTCGAGGAGGATCAGGGAAAAAGAAAGGGAAATAGTCGAAAAGAGATATGCTGAAGCTATGAGACCTGGTGGCGCCTTTAAATTTCGTGACGAGTAAAACTTTTGATCTGGCAAACAATTGGTTGTTATAACTTATAAATCAATCGATAATTTTGTTTTAAGAAGTAGGAGGAAGCCTGATACAAGAGAGATTTTATCTCGTAATATCAAAACTCAAATGCTATGTGGAATACTATACAACCCTCGGGTGATCAAGTTTCTCAAACAAAACCTAGTTACGCGTCGCTGATCAAACTATTATGCATAAATGTTTAAAATTAATTTTAGATGGCCGTATGCGAGCATATGTCAAATCCATATGATAATTAATCCTCTAATCGTTTAGACTTGAAAGCTTTCTATCAATATGAATTTCTCAAGGAATAGGTTGAAATTTAACTGCAATATTGTTGATGCAACGAAATTATAGCCAAACTAGCTGCCGGTATATCTGACTGACCTACGACGAGGAATATATCAGATATGTTTGAAATTACTTAAAATCCTATCAAAGTTTTCTAGAGCCTCATCGTGTGCTTCTAATGGTATGATGTGACAGATTCTCTTCAGGCTATATAATACTTTTTTTTGATTCACTTGTGTAGAATCTTTCATGGGACATGTCGCCTAAGCAGTTGGCCGATGATGTAAAATATCCTCACAAACTCACAGCTCAACTGTCACAAGATATTCTAGATTTTTATATCAACAAAACATGCATAATTTAGCATGGATGTTAAAAATCTTTAATTAGCGACCTTTTTATTCTTAATTAACTCATCTAATTCTGGCTTCAATTGATTTTAACGTTGTTCTTCATAGCTTAGTCATAGAAATACACGGGGATCTATCATAGGTTCTTATGGTGTTGATCGTGCTACTTAAGCCTAAGATTATCTCGCAAATTAGCTCCTCTCTGACCCAGGTCACATTCTATACAGTGATGCTGTCCTCTTTTGTTACGAAGAAACCCTAATAAAATACCTAATCTGGTGTTGAAATATGAGGTATCTTGGAATACCAAGAATAACACACTTGTAGGTCTAGCTAATTAGACCATCAAATTCCCCACTATATATTATTGCTTTCAATACATCCTGTGCTGAAAGTTTAATGCGCAATAATGTTTAAATCACACTAGTAATCCAGTGGATGACTTCGTCTCAAATGCAGGTTATAGGATGCTTAGACCTATTACCCTACACACATGTATTTAGCTCTATTTTCCTGGCTTTTATGGGGCACTTTTTTCAACACCTATCAGTGGTGTCCCCTACGAACCTCCAGCCCTAACTATAGAGTCTTCAGAGCCGAGATTGAGTAACACCTTTTCAACTTTAAGCTGGGTTATCTCCCTCTCCGTCAAAGATACGCTTCCGATAATACATAAGACGACAAAGACGACGATAATGATGCTGGAAACGAGGAAAGATAATGTGGCACCAAACGCTATAATGGTAGTAAGAGAAGCCCTCGTCATATCTCAACATGTGCTGCCCACCGGCGGGCAAACAAAAAGCCCACGAAAGCAAAGTGAAAGACCCTTCCACCCTCAAGATTAGCAGATTTCGACTTGTCAAAAATCTCGTCTCTTCTAATCTGTACTTCCGTACCTACTGTTGTAAAAATCTGAGTTCATAACTGCATACACCATTAGGAGATAGCTGTGCACCAGCAAAGTTAACCCTCTAGAGTCTGATCACTTTTGCCTCCTGGTCGCTACACACTTACATCAACGTGTTCACTACAGTGAGGAAACCATTGTAGTTACTCTAGCTATCATAGATAACAACGTGTAGAGGAATAAGTGTAGGAACTCCTGTATATAGATAGGTCCTTTTCACTCTCAGTATCTACATCCATCATCCACAAATACAATTCATCATCATTCAATCATCTTACTCGGTCTAAGTGATCTATTGAATTCTCCCATACCTATCCGTATTCTATTCACAAGGTGACGTCCCTCTATTCATCGCTCTCAGCCTTTCAATGTCTACTAGCCAGGAGGGCATAGAGATGTAGCTGGTTACGTAATGTGGTTATGTAATTAGATCTAGTAGCGCGGCGGTCGTATATTTACGCGTCGCGGATAGAAAAGAATATAATACTTGCGACCTCCCACAGCTCCGAACCTTAACGTATTTCTGGCATCTGAAATACATGAGTTACTCGACAACCCCACGTCCGTAACGACTTTTGGATGCTAGGCTAGGCTCCTTCACGACAGTCACTCTCGACCAAGACTTTTCTGACATCTTTTCACTACCTTCGATTTGTCCTGCGGCATGAATCAAGGGAGGAGTAATGAGGAGGCTAGGAAGGTTGAGAGACACTCTTAGGTATACACAGGTCTGCTGCGCCCGGCTGGCCGGCCTCTTCGTCATAGGAGAGGCCCGCACCCAGTAGTTTTTGAGACTTTTCCCAGCAGCTACATACCCGCAAATGGCCATTGTTCCTGTTAAAGATTTAATCTGTCCATAACTCTGTGCTTGATGATGGCCAGCTAGACGAAGAAGATCATGTCCTGTCATTTAAGACAAAAGGGCGAAAAGGGCATTAATTAGAATATAGGACCGATATAGTAAGTGGTTATTAGCCCAGAGTAGGTATGGGCATTGTGAATGTAGTAGAAAGCATCATCATATTGAAGAGAAGTCAAGTGCGCGATATATATATATATATATATATACACGTGTCATATCCCTGTCACTAATTACCAAACCCCGCACTGCCATAAACACCATCAATCTCTGCTGTCCATCGCAATCCTGAGTATCAATATGAATTACTATTGTACGGTATGTTTGTACGGGTCGACATCAAGATAGAGATTTTAACAGCTCCATTGGCTGGAGAGGGGAGATAATGATGGGATAACGGCTCCTATTAGTGTGTACTCGAATGAAGACCTATGGGGGTATTACTGCTGGAGAGAAGTCGTAAAGGAAGCATAGGAGGGAGTACACTACCCGAAGCTTAGATACTTCCGGCCTGTAGGAAGAAAGGACCTACATGTGATTACATAGTCATAGAATTTACAGGACAATAAATAAACACCACAGTTGTTAAAAATGTGCACACGCAATTTCAATTTTATCATCCAAGTTTACTTAGGACCATGCATTTCAATACAATTGTTTTCACTCAAATCTTCCTTCTACTATCTCATATAAGCCTTATTGTATCGTTCTAACCCCCGACACTCTTTCCGCTCTTACCTCCATCTTCGCTCAAGCTCATAACTTCGACACATCTCACTTTGTAAGGAAACAGTATGACTCCACGAATTTGCTGAGATTCACTCGCTCATTCTAATTTGATCAGGCAATGGGTGTTCAATAATAACCCACCATGGAACCTATCAGCTTCCGGTTAGTAATGTGTCACTAAGGCTAGACTACTCCCTTTATTCCACTTATTCGGCATGTAATACAGTATCGACGATTCAGTTAAAAACTAAGCACGGCATATTTGCAGCCAATAAGAACGATATTCTTGTCCTCAGTTAGAAAAATAAATCCGATCCACCAGTCGCCAAGCTAGTATTCAAGGACGGTTTAATATTTATTGAGTCTCTGGATTCTACTCATGAAAATCGAATTGTAACAAATATGGCTCTATTGGGAGTGCCAAAAGTGCCAAGGTAACCTGCTCACAACGATGGCACCAAAGACTTGGTCATGAAGGGCAAAAGATCCCAAAAAATACCGCACGGGTCTCCACAAGAATGAAAGATATCGACCTATTATAACTTTTAACCCGTGAAACATATCATCTTAATAAGGCGCAAAGATACGTCTCCAGAGAGCCGAGACAAACGCCTAAAGAGTCATTGTATGAGGTGGTAGTTGACACCATTGGAAATTTAACTACTGCAATCAATAGTGTACAGTATGCAGTTTTGGTTTGGTTTGTTTTGTTCATTAACGTGCTAGGTTACATGGCTACCGTTGCACTCCTATTGGAGTTTAAGCACGCGTGGGGTTGGGCCGGATCAGGTTAACTACCGTGAAGTGCAGATAAACCTCGTCCCACTTTAATGACCGGACCACCTCAGACTTCACCTATGTGTTGAATCATACCAAGCCTAACCGTCCAGAAACCCGCTGTATACACGCCGTAGCGCGATTTCCTCCTCAGCCTCGGCCACCACGCGCCCGAGCCCTTGACATCCTCATTGACTCCGAAATATAAATGCCGTCCAAGATCTCATCGTTGCTCTAGCCTTGCACCTTCATATCGTACCGTTGGGTTGTTTTCGTCATTGGGGATTTGTGTAATCCCCTCGGTGTATCTTCCCTCTTCTTCCTCCTTTGTACACGTCCCGTTTCCATCATGACTTTCCTCATTAGGGCGTGTGTAGGTAGGTGGGCAGGTGTAGGATCGATTAAGAAATGCTTCGTCGCAAGTATAAAAGGGGTTTAAGAGATGTCGGATGTTTGAATACGACCCCCAGATAGACCTAGACCCATTCGTGAATCGTATGTTGGTGGTGATGACTTTTTGTTCGACGTTGCTCCGGCTGTGAAATCTCTGTCGACTGATTTTTCGACCTAAATATCGAGTGCAACTCCTTCAAGTCGAAAATCCATCAATTGAAATTCATCCCACCCATTTTCGTGACTGAATCTCGGCTCTGGGAGAATATTTCACTCCCAGGTTCGTAGAGGACACCACTGACAGGTGTTCAGCCTTCGTCCTCCTACAGTATGCAGTGATCTTATCAGATGCAAAAACTAAAAATGCGCTAAGCATTGATCACCAAGACTAAGGATGATATTGCTACAGAATTATTCGAGTGTATCAATCTCCAAGATAATTAATTCAAAAAACGAGTACGAGTTGTTTTTAAAGACCGAGGCTCTGATTTAAGTCGCACCAAGGATTATTAAATCGAACATGGTGTTACAGGCTTAGGGCCTTGTAGGATTAGAATCGGACTTATCCGATTCCACATGTAACGATTGCTCACGTGACCATTGGATAGTCAGGCTTGAAGTGACTTACGTAAGACTTAGTAGATACTCAATTGTGTAACTCGTGTAGTTCTTTCGTTATACAGAATATAAACCTTTATTTTTGGATTCACCTATGCGGACAGCTATCGTGATCAGTCCTTTTACACATGGGATATGAACAGATATCTTAGCGCTATACACTCTTGAACAAAATAGAGCAGCTGAGTCCGTATGTAAGGTTCTGGCTAGAAAAGCGCGATCAATGATTATCAATGCAGGAATGCTACCAAATTTCTAGCCATGGGCCTTAGAACATTCATTTTATATCACCAATAGACTTCTTTGTACGCGCAGAAATAAAGACCCACTATTAGATTTTCTAATATGACTCAAACAACCACACAAGAGCAGGATTTATTTTACAAAAGGTCCTCATTTTGGATATCTAGCTTACAACTTAATTGAACCTACACCAAGTAAAATGAAGCAAGGGCCCATCAGGGTTGGTTAATGGGGTTTCAGTCCAATTCGAGCGAGCAAGAAAATATCATCATTTTGAAAAATTTACCCCTATCGATTTTAATCCCGTGAAGTTGTAGACAAATCTTACCAGAAATGGGGAGTAATCCTAAGAAGGATTCTCATAGTAGAAAATCACTTACGGCCCCAAAAGCCGGAAATGACGCGTCCAAAAAGCCCCGGTATACTGATACAGCCTTAAAGAGGTTCCAAAAAGTAGTTGAGGGAGATGAACTCTCAAGCAGAGCACACAAAAAACTAATATCAGACGCGGTTCTAATAATCGAGGGCCTCGATAACGCAAATTTCAGCCCCAAAAACACTACCAGCAACGATAACCCATCTATAGCTAAGATATTGCAAGAAATTCAATTAATTAAAGCGTCAATGTCACAGACCAAAGTGTTACGGCCTTTTTTTTTGCATCAGATTTTAATTGCGTATGCAGCTATCTAGCTATGACACAATATCAAAGAAAAGCAAAGAATGGATGACTCAATATAAAGGAAGAGCACTCATGCCTCAGATTTCATTTGCAAGTACCACTGCGAAGTTGTGGTGGCTTTTTCTTCACCCCAAGTCAACCCTCATCCATGAATACCCACTCAGGGAAACGTCTCAAAAACCCTGGGTTATCCAGACATGCTTTCATAATCCGTTCACATTTCTCCGCGCGAAATATGGTCTTAGGTGTCTCTTTCCCAAGTGGAGTAAGTGCCCAGGCTACTCAGACTATACCGGAGAACAACACCAGGAGGCAGACAACGACACCTCCCATCGTCGGCTTGTTTTTATAGTGTCAGCTGCACTCTCGCAAGCGAAGTCTTGGCACGCACAAATCTCAATTCGTAAAACTCTTGCAAAATTCGATATTTCACGCCCGTCGAAAACGTATCCCCCTTCTGCATCATCTTGTGAACTCGTCCTGATCCCTCTCACGTCCATCCCAAAGAGCTATCTCCTAGATTTGTGCGCCACGCATTGCTTCCTCCGTCAGGTGTAAATATCGGCATGGGCGTGTATTTGGTGACCGGCTAAGGCCAGAGAAAGTCGACGAGAGGTGTGGTCATTGAAACGAGGATGTACTAGATCGTACTTGTAGACTTGATGAAGCTTAGTTGAGAATCAGACTCTTTAGTAGTGAAAGATTGACATGGTGGAGTAATTTTAATTTTTGCCTCGTGGGCCAACTTCTTTGATATTGCGAAATTTGACTGAACTTGGCTCTGGGAGAATATTTCAGTCCTAAGTTCGTAGAGGACACCGCGTACAGGTGTTCAGTCTTGCCCTCCCTTTCTTTGATGTTGCGTCATAGCTAGATAGCTGCATGCGCAATTGAAATCTGATGCACAAAGAAGAAACAGAGCCTAAGCCACAGCATAAACCATTGTGGCGCCATCTAGGCATAGAAAACCCCCAATAACCTCCTTGCGCCCACGCCACATAGCCGCTCATGTATCCAATAGGTGGCCTGGAGCGCTAACCTAATACTCAGTCCAACCTCTTAATTACACACAAGATCGTGTCGGGAACCTAGACGAACTAGAGGGTCCGTACATCAACAACACTCTGTGTCTCCATTTCCAATGGGTTGTGAAAGTACAAGCGACATTGGAACATTTCCATGGTTGGATGGTGCGATGGTATATCGTCTAGGCCGGTCTGACAGGCGAAATCTGGACATCTTGGACACATATCCCATTCGCGACAATTGATCGCTGGTTCAAATCCGGCAAAACACAACCACATTTCTCGGGGCGCTGGTATGCATGGATGATGAAGGCATGCTTGGATAACCAAATGTTTTAAAACGTCCCTTTGGTGGGTACTTACGGAGGAGGGTCGACTGTTTGTGTAGGCAAGCATACCTCATAGTGGTATTTGCGAATGAAATCCAGAGTATGAGTGTCTTTAACGTCAAAAGAGTCATCCTACTTGTATACATAGCACGGGTCATGTGCCATAGCTAGATAGCTGCATACACATTAAAATTTTAAAAAAATAGATCGTATTCATGTAAATGACAAGGCCCTGGTCGGAATGTATCTCGCTGGGGCTGAATATCTGGCTTGTTCGCGATTCCTACACTATTGCCACGGGGCAAGCTTTCCAACTTTTCGAATCCCAACTCAACTTCACTGTAGGGAAAGTCTCGACACAGATTCGTAGAGGGTACGCAAACACGTGTTTAGTCCATATCCTCCATGCTGTCGGTGTAATGGCTGAGTATGCTCTGCACATCTGGGATAGCAGAGAAGAATCGCATCCGAATCGATGTCGAAAGCAACCTCAAGCATATCTACAGTCGACGACTTCTCAACAACTGTTAGACCTATCATTCCCACGCGAGTCCTCTACTCCCATCGTCTTACACCACCTCGCCTTCACTTCCGATAAAAGCGTTGCTACAATTGCAATCGGGCATTTGCCTTATCAAAAACCAGCCATCGCCCACTACATATTTATGATGCTATGTATACCCGCGAGGAGGAATTTAAGTCATAATATACAAAGCTCAGGTCTTGGTCTATGGGGGATCATTGCTCTAATGAGGCCTCACATCTTGCGGGAGGTCAGGCAGCTGGGATGTGGGACGAACGAGAGAAGAGGGCACAAATAGGCATGCTGGGACGCACACCTTTCGAATTTTTTCGACTTAAGGGTGTCTGTGGGCACAGAGGCAACGATTTTGGATAGTGCAACCGACACCCTAACAACACGCAACAACGGAATGTATTGTGGTCCTCCTCCTGGTCGTCATCTCCCCGAATTAAAGTCTGGGTAGCCTGGAAACCTACCTCACTCGAAAATGGGAGGACTGTGAGGCCATATCTCGCGCGGCGGCTCTATACATGATGACAAAGGCATGTTAGGGTAGCCAAATGTTTTTCCTGTTTTCTCTCTGGTGGATATTCCGAGCTGAGGGAGGGGTGAAAGTCCTTAGCACCAACGTCTCGAGTGACATCAGCAAATGTGTCCACTTCATGAGTGGTCCGAATATCAAACTGAGTTACCGTCTTACATAGTCGCCGGAGAAGGATTAGCTTTCTCTGTATCATGCTCCGTGAGTGCTCGACTTGTGCCCGTCACGAATAAATATTCATCCTCCATGTCCATGGGCGCAGAGCTTGTGCCTGACACTTTGGAACAATATGCTTGACTCAACAGCCAGTGTCATGAGGCATTACTTAGACCATGCACGACTTAGTAGAGTTCAACCTCGTCTTTCCGAGGCGTTGAGTCTGTAAGCCACATTTCTCGTGATGAGGATGGATTGGATAATGATTAAATTTCTTTAGAGGTCTAGATTTACTGTGTCTTATTCCTAGGGTGAACACCCACGCCTGGCGATCATGTGAAAGTTCCGGGTTCCACTCCAAGTGAGATTAGTGACAGCACCCACGGCATGAGAGAATTCCATAAAGTCGCATAGTCTTTTACCATCAATATCCGTTAGACGATGACTAGCCCCTTCTTTTTTCTGATCTATCTACGACAGTCTCGAGGGTCAGATAGTACTCACTGTTCCACATCTTTCGTACCGTTAGAGTTTAATTAAGGGAACAGTTCCTTGGGTATTGCCAAAATTTCGAATGTACAAGAGGTAAAACTAACAGAAGCAGAACGGTCTATTGAGTTCAATCTGTACTGCCAGATAAAACTACTAAGATATCTAGATATATGACAGTCTGGACATCATTATAAATGGCAAGTAATCGATAGCAAGCACATAGTGGTATTCAAGCTATTAGCAAATTCCACAAAATCTTTTTGCCGGAATTCATTTATAGACTGAAGTAGTTTAGCTTGCCATTTCCATGGCTGCAAACTAGATCGATAGTTTGAAGGTAATAACTTTTTAAGTTAATGCTAATAGAGAGAGCTTTGCAGGTGTGGGTTAATCGCACCTACACTATGCTCATTCATTTTTTTTAACATCCAAACAGCAATCCATTTCCCAGCATTCAGTATGAGTATATGAAAAAGAAAAATGAGGGGCTGCAGAACATTTCGCAAGCAACTGATTAAGAAGAAGGATAATTGTTCATGACGCCGACCATTTTATAACCAACCCTAATTACCCCGAGTTTGATGTTGAAAAGCAATTCTAGCTTTCTACCATCATCACGTTCATTCATTACCGTCTCTCCTTTTACCTAATGTTGTGTTTGGTTGTTCATTGTTCCATGACAAATAAGTATGATCACCGAGCTTTCGTGGACGTATGAGGTGGCTAATGGTAAAGAGTGTACCGAGTATAATACAAATAGCACTAACTGCAACGTAAGCGATTCCAAGAAAAGGATTACGACCTCCTAAAACAGTCCGTGTGGATATAATAATAGATTTTGTGCCTCCATAATCAATTACGTTGAAGTCTGTCAATATCAGACAAGAATCTCGACAAAGTTGGGACGACTTACGGTGATCAACTTTTATCGAGTAAGTCCCAGTTTTCATAACATGTGTGTCATTCCTTTGGGCAAGCTTACTGAAAGTCGGCAATCCAGCTAAGCGCATCCAGACCTGGAAGGCTTCGTCTTCCTTCAGGTTTGGGTGGTTGTCATCAGTGTAGTTGTTTGGATAACGCAGTACCCAATTAGGTGGGACAAGAACCTGCGACCAGTCCTTTGCATATTCACTCTCTCCATACAGTTGTTTATCGCTATCCCAAGAAATTCCCTTATTTTTCTCAAAAAAGTAAGTTTCATTTGTCTCTGAAGCCCCAGGAACATTCAATAGCACAGGTGAATAAAAAGTGTCGTTGAAAACAGAATTGGCGGCAAGGCCGCAAGGATAGTATGCTTTATGGGCATCGCTACCAGGTCCTGTAGTGAGAGGTGTACAGTCACTACTGCCAATTTCAGTGTGTGAAACAGCCTTTCCAGCTAGTTGATCGGCATTGAACGATTTCGCATAACGTCGATGGTTCTGGTAGAATTTGGTGAGCTTGTAATAGAAGAGTACGGGTGGCTCCATAGAGCTAGGAATAGAAAAGTTGAGTGTACATTGAATGGTGGGTACAACAACACCAGGTGCATAAGTGTATTCTATATTTTGACGACTCCAGGATGGTGCAGATCCTTGAACGCTAGAGGAATTTTTGTTGAAATGAGACTCGACAAGGTTCGAAGGCATGATGCTAGTATCAGGGTATTCTGGCGCATCAAGAAAACACCTTGAGTAATCGAGGATAATTTCCTGAACCTGTGGATCCCTCATCAGTCTTTTTTGATGAGTTTAATAGCGTCCGGCGATATCATGTAAATACCACTAACCTGTGAACTTGCGTATAATAGCCCCCCGCCGATGGGCCCAAATATTAATCCGATGGCGAAAAAAAGTGGTAGAACAGTTTTAGGCGTAAGGATAGGTCTAGTTTTACCATCAGTTGTGTCTTTCTCTGAGGCAAATTGACCTACTGCCATGCTTTTAATCGTTGCTGACGAAATGCAGTGTCTGTAGATTCACTACATCAGTAACGCAGTATTCTGGAGACCGGGTCACAGAGATTTCTTACTTGCAGGCTTCCGGCTCTTCTGCTTAGTTGCATCTTGTTGGTTTGTTTCCAAAGAATTTGAATCTTCGACCTGGCCTGGCCGTGTCTCAGTCATTGTGTAGGTATCAAGAGAGCATCGAGCGGTATTGTGATTTGTCTTTTTCAGGTTCGTTGATATCAATGTCAGTTTGGGTATAGACAGTTTCAGGGTGTTAAGTCAATGTTACGTTTGGACGGACATAATTACATCAGCAGAAATGTTGGTAGTTAACTAGTGTCGGCTTGAGTAATGGAATAGTCCCTAGTTTGTAGATCAAGCTCGGAGGATTGAAAGCTTTTACTCTATTTAAATTAAGAATTGTTCAGGCGATTTATGTGTGCGAAGAATATCATGCAGACAATATTTTAATCGTTTGTGATGAGTCGGGGTGCCGGTGAGACGTTGCCTAGAGCGAATGGGATATTCTGAGTCTATTTACATCTTCATTTTTGATGACTCATTCAGCGGTTGTCATTAGTGACTCAAGTTTGAGGCATCACTCTGAGTGGCGTATTTTAAGATCGTCGATGCCAAATGATTCCAAGCATCCCCAAAGAACAATTCCACTAACTTTATCCTATTTGTATCCCAAACTTTCCACTTTTCCGCTCCCCTTGGTACAGAACGGCCTTCATTAAATTCACTTAGCGGAAACAATGACATACCCCTTCTAGATTGGTACAAGTCCTCTTTCTCTTCCTCAGATACAAACAATCAACCCTACGAAGACTACAATGACGGCAGTGACGCTGATCAATATGATACCCAACTTTGTATCAATCGCTGCAATGGAAGTTGTAGGATCTCCCGTGTCCTAACATTTGATACTCACCGGCAGGCGAACAAAAAGGCCTTAATAGAAAATTACAAGACCCGATTACTTACAGAGCGGGCTTGATTATTATAGCCAACTAACCACCTCCCTACCTTGAAAACGTGATATTATCATAACCTAAGGCTCCCAATCTAAACAGACTAATTTATAATATTGTTCCCACAAAAACTCCCAGATTTCAGGCTAGTGCTTAATGGAGATTTCTTTCGATGAAAACATTGCTTACATTATATCACGAATTTTGCTTTTTCCTGCGACAGAAACCTGCGAAGACTAAGACGGTAGTGGGCTCTTCTTAGTCACACTTAGCTCTGCTATGCATGTCTAGGTACCTCACTTATCGCTTCAAAAAAGTAGCTTTGCTTCTGTGTTTAGTCCAGAATTCTACATTAGGATAGCCCCACACTCGGCGGTTTTTAAGATTTCTCCTGGAAGCTACACACCCACAAACGGTTTCTTTTTTCGAAAGGCAAGGGAATAGAATGCAAAGGCTTGCACTATAAATGAATATATGAAGACTTTGGAGGGCAAAGACTGAACACCTGTACGCGGTATCTTCTACAAACCTGGGAGTGAAACATTCTCCCAGAGCCAAGTTCAGTCAAATTTCGCAATTGCGAAGAAATTGGCCCACGAGGCAATGATCCACGACTCTCTACGAAATCAAACTCTCCCACCCAACGAGATAGATCCCCATCAACACCTCATCAAGTTTACAAATAAGATCAAGTACATCCTAATTCAATGACCACACCTCTCGTCAACTTTCTCTAGCCTCAGCTCGTCACCAAATACACGCCCTTGCCTATATTTATACCCGACGGAGAAAACAAAGCGTGGCGCACAAATCTGGGAGACAGTTCTTTGGGATTGACGTGAGAGGGGTCAGGACAAGTTTACAAGATGATACTGAGGATGGATACAATCTTGAGGGGCGTGTGAATTTGTATTTTGGCAAGGAGTTTCACGAATTGGGCCTTTGTGCGCGGAAAGACTTTCCATTTGGGCATGGAAGAAACTGTGACGAAAATATGCCACCCACAACGGTATCCCCTGACGAGTCGAGCTCAAATGATCTTCCATACTAATGCTCATTGCTTTTATACCTGATCTGTGACATATATCTCGACTAATCCCTATAACGCTACGACGAAGAGATTCGACGACGATACACGAAGACGAGATATGGCAACGAGATTCGAGTTCGGTTTGTCCCACAGATCACAGAATCATTTTGACACAATATCCGCACAACCGAGCAACATCGATGCAGCCATCCATACGGTGGATGTATTCACGTTGATGATAGAAATACGTGAGCTAAGACAACGGCTCGACGATGATCCAGTGTCCCGCAACGTTCCAGGAGAGAAATTTCCAAAAGTTGTAATTGTAAAAGATCATGCAAGGATATCAGGGGGCCGTCCACCAAGCTCATTCAAGAAGTTAAACGGCGATATAGCCGGTTACCCAGCCTGTAGGGGATCAGTTTTATTTGCAATGAGAATTGATTGGAATCAATACGGTTACACTGATTCATATGTCTTCTTAAAGTTGTAAGAAGCCTTTGAGGGACGAGCGAAAAAACGATCCTCGTCCTATTTTGAGTCAGGCGGACTGGGTGGCAAAGAGAAACCGGAAGATTTTATTGAGTTTTTAGATCGAAGTAATTGGGATCCTACTAGGATTACCCGAGCTCGAAACGAGCTTAATGATATGAAAATGGGGGAAAAAAGTGGAGCTCGTCCCTTCCCTTATGGGCTAACAAGCTAACAGAAGCGAATGGCGACATTCGGCTGGACGAAACAAAGATCACCATGCTAGAAGGAACTCTGAACAGGACACTCCGTATCACTCTGGCAAGTAATCATCTTCTTCCATCCAACAATTTTTTTTGAGCGGGTTAAAATCGTCATCCACATTGCCCAAAACTTCGATGAGATACAAAAGGTATCTCACTATTCCCACGCGCCATTCGAGACCGATCTTAGCCCAAATAAACACACCGGCGGGCGGAGTCTAGGAAATTCAGGACAAGGAAGGATTAATGAAAGGAGAGGGAGGCAAGATCTGGAAAGTAGAAAATAATCTGAGCTAGACGCGTTAGGGGATACCGTTATGGGTGGCATATTTTCGTCACAGTATCTTCGAGGCCCAAATGAAAAGTCTTTGCGAGCCAAGTAGAAGACTCAGAATCAAATCTAGAGACTCCGGAAAGAGGAACGTTGCTTTCGCTGTGATCAAAGGGGATGTAGTAGAAAGATTTGCAGGATACTCCCGGCAAGAAACCCAAATGTGAAAGACTTCGAAGTACATAAAACTACCATCTTCTGTACCAATGCTCATTGCTTTTATACTTGATCTATGACATCTGCATAACTCAGAGTTTTGGCGGCGTTCCCCTGGATGAATATTCACGGATGAGGGTTGACTTCGTGTGAAGAAAGAGCTTCCATAACTTCGCAGTGATACTTGCAAATGAAATCCGAGGCATGAGTGCTCTACCTTTATACTGAGTTATCTAGTATGTACTTCTCTTTGATATCGTGTCATAGCTAGATAGCTGCATGCGCAATTAAAATCTGATGTTCAAAAAAAGACTTCGAAGGGATACGATTGCTGGACAATAGTTATCAGAATTGAAAGAGTATACAAAATCTTAGGGACAATCTTCCTTGGGCTGTGTGAAGACAGAGCTTTCGTGTACTGCACAATATTAAACCAAGGATAAGACTATAACCATTTGATTACATGCGGGACGAGATTTTTTCTAAGCCAAGCTTCGACACAAGGGCACATACAAAGCGATTCATCATGACAAGGTTGGAACGATGTGAAAAATCAGAAGATATTTAAGTATTGTAATTATGAGGCTAAATATGACTGTCCCATTTTTATTCTAGCTTTTGGGGGGGGTTAGAATTATTTTGTAAAATAACAAGTTTTTGAAGCTTCCTTTTCCTATATCCACAGGCTCCAGCTAGTAGCAGAGTTAACAACTCAATATAATTCATTTGGTAAATCTGTTTCTGAAGTTCCAAGTGCTTTCAGATAGATATCATCTACAAGCAGCACCAACTCAAGTTTAGAGTTAATCGGATCGTAGAGCTGTCTTGAGCATGTCTTCCACGCCCAGTTTATCTGGGTATTGTGACCTGAAATTTCCAAGATACCTTGTGGCAGAGCGATGCCTCGTCAATGGATGTCGTGGCGAGATATTTTGGCTAATTAGACATGGTAACGTTCCATATCTTCGTTCTGCATCCAACATTGAATATCAGGGCGTCGTAAAATCATCAGGCAAACACTATTTATTATTTATGTCTGTATTTGTTCACAAAGACCAAGATTATCGAACGTATGCGCTTTGGGGCTGCGCGACATGATGTCCCGAGTACTTCGGAGGTGCGTCAGCCGGCGGTTGGTAGTATAGTTGCCCCTGTTGGTGCCTTGCATTGGCAACATTTCTTTTACGCCGACGAGCTATACAACAACTAATGTTCGTAAGCACCGCTCCTAGCGCTAGATCTGAGTAAACCAAGGACTCACACAGTGACAAGTATGGTTAGAATAGCGAGTGAGAACATAACACCGGCGAGTATCCAACGCCCAATGCGGCTCCAGTATGATAGACGGCAGTCGCTGTAGTGGCCGTAGCGGCCGTTCCTCACACTTTAGTTTGAGCCATTAGTGTATGGTCTGTACAACGGATCTTTGTGGTACATACCAGTGGCCATAGGCTCTACGCACTAACTGGTTCGTGGGCAGAGTGGTGAGGAACATGTTGGATAGAGTGAAGAAGTATTAGGGTTTATAGAGTGATCAAAGAGATTTGTGTTGATGATTTGAGTGCGCGACTCCAATATATATCGAAGCGATAGCATTTTACCCGTTATAAATAGTGATTCTTATTCATTACTCTCGTCATTCATTTTTGACTAATAACTATGAGATACCGTGTGACATCCACACCCACGCCATGAAGTGGTAATTTCTACTAAGATCATCAATCTTTTTGCGGGCAGCTAGTATCAATGGCAGCAGGGGCGAATAGGAAGATCTGGTCGAATAGACCATGGCAGTAGTCACAATCGACATGGTATTTTGCAAAGTCCTGACATGAGTCTCGAGCTGTAATAAGCCAAGGAGACCCGGCTATTTTGAGAACACGATTATTGAAGAATCCTTGGCTGACGCCGGCCCACCTCGTCCCCTACAATCCTAAAGGTTAATGTACCGTGGTCTGAGATACACTCCGACGGGGTAATACGCACGCCGCTGGCCCATGAGGAAGTGTTCAAAGATTCGCCATCACTTCCATTCCTGTTAACTACAAGGCTAGCTAAAGTTCAATCTTGCCCCCATGCATGGGTACAACATAGTTCATCCACTTTCAAGTAACCAGTCTCCTCATTGGCTTCATCTCAAACTTTTATTGGTCTTTAACTACACGCCTTCAACACCGTTAAGGCTCGTCGGATGAAATCTTAGCGCAAGATTCTGACGAGACGGACCTTTGGAAGTACGTAATAGATGGGATGAATAGTGGGCAAGACCAAATTGATGGGTACGGTCAAGAAGTGGGAGAGGCCTGGGTCCTGGAACAGAGGTTTCAATGTCGAGGAGGATTGTGCGCATTAAGGCGTCGTTTGCGGGAATGAAGGTAACTTTGCAAGAACAGTCAAAGATGATAACCTGGTCCGCCACGAGCCTTCCGCTCGTTCAACTCAAATCTACTATTCTAAACACCTACGCTACCCACTATGAGAAATATGTGAGACCGGGAATCTCGCAATTACAGCGGATCTCTTGGAGGTATTTTACGGCCAAGCAAATGGCGATAATCCTAGGCTCCACTTCTAATGCTATCTAGGAAGCGCTCATGGCATGAGTGAACTGTTTCAAAGTTGAAGCATCTATTTATGTGACACTGTAGGCGATGATTCAGATCTTTTCATTCAAAGCGTTTGTTCTGATCTTTTAGACAAACAACTCACAATTGCTAGGATGACTTGGGACGAACTTCGTGGAATTAAATTATGAGTTTACACACCATTGATTTCAGCCACACGATAGCTACGACCTGACATTGTTTGATTTACGGTCGAAAGTCGGGTGATGATGTGTTTACATGAAGCATCACCATTCAATGACGACTAGTAACGGCGTCTTAATTAGGTCAGTGATGATCAAAAGTTTGTTACAATAAAAATGTGAGCACCAGTCACAATACAAAAGTTTTTGTATGTTGCATGCCAGATATGCATTTGTGACTATGGGGGTAATTATGGTGTCCGGTTGGGAAATAACTTATTCTTTGGTCTAGTTATTGGCCAGTACGTTCACTGTAGATAATTCGTTCTCACAAAAATTTTCCTGTCAGCCCACTCGAAGCCTCTTGCCCTTTGATTCCACCAACCATGACACGGATGAAGGCAAAAACACCTTCCGGGTATTTGGTGCAAAGATATCAATAAATATTAATGTATAGTTGGCCACTTCACATAGTGGCTCGTGTACGCTTATTATACCGTCCAGGTTTGTACTGAGGTGCATCTGTTTCCTCCTCTTCCGTGAATATCCACCCAAGACAGTTCTCATACCTCTTTTCATGTCCTACATTGCCAATTTAATCCATTACACCTAGTTGCCACGCGAACCTCGTCATTTCTGACTAGATTCAATGAAAATAGGCGTGCAAGCTTTACAGCCGAGTCTGTAAAGAGTTAATAAGACGGTAGATCTAGGCTTCATATCATCTGGCCCTCTGAAGTATCATCCACACTTTCACGAACCGAGTTGTGTCGCGCATGAGATTTTTCGTTGAAAATTCCTTCCTGTACTTGTTCGCTTCCAAAAAATTTCATATCATTGTTTGTCACTATAAATGTTACCCCTCAACCACTTAGTAGATTTGGTATTTCGAGCTGAGGTGAGGTGACATTGTAATTGAGGTCTTGTCGCGATTTAAGGGCACAAGGCTGAAAAGTCAGCCTCGTGTAATTTTATCATGTATCACTGTTGTAGAAAGAATGAATAAGGACAAGAATATCATTTGTTCCAACGCAAATTATTATCTGTTCAGGTACCGAAACGTGGCTCATCCATCGCATAAAAACCTGGATCCATATTTCATTCTTATTCTATTTCGTCGATTCGCAACATTTCATACCGCAATTTAAGCTCTCCGGCGTAAATACCCAATACAGTAGCGTTATAGAGGTGAACGAGGCTAAGGAACGAGAGTATGAAAATTGTGACCATTGAGCAGGGATTTTCCCAAAAAATTTCTCGTAATTAAAAGTGGCACAGTGCTAGAATGAGGCTTTGCGGGTGCAGAGTATTGAACACTTCTAGGCATTAAATTCTTCGCCTCACGAGCTTATTAGTGTGGTTCGAGTTTGACTCCGTTCCGGGCCTGAGAGAAGGGTTTACAGTGGACTCGTAGGTGCCATCGCTGGGATACGAACTTTCTTCGTCTGTTTTAGATGTTCTATCGGCGCTAGATTTGATGGCTTCATGAGCTAGTACCCCAGATTGAGAAAATTTCCCTGCTCAGATTATGGGATGGAGTGGGAAACTATTCATTCCCACAAGGGTTGGATGGTGCAGTGGTACGCCATTCGGGCCGTTCTCCCAAGTAAATACTGGGTAGCTTGAACACCTACCCCATTCGAGACAGGAGAAAGCTGGTTCGAATCCAGTCAGACCCACACACCACTCTCTCTCGTGGTGATATTGTGCTTGTGGGATGATGAAAGCACACTCAGATAGCCACAGGGTTTTCACGCTATTCCCTGTGGTTGGTATGCACGGAAGAGGTTATACGCCGTAAGGGTTAACCTCGAGTAGTATCTGCAAATGAAATCTGAGTGTGAGTGTTCTAATCGTCAAATTGAGTCATTCTACTTAAAGTACATATCTTCCGATAAAACCTGCATGGGACTCAAGGCGCCAAATCAGGTAAAAATGAATTATATATATACATTCCCACAGCAGTGCTCGCCTAACCGGGAGCACCTTGTTCCATGTAAAAACGTGCCTTGGGTCCCGCACCCAACTGTCTCTTGCAGAGTAAGACATAAGTGTGTCATTGCTCACTTACTAGGCTTTTCTGTCATTTTCTACAAATTTAGCAATCTCGTATCATGCACACTAGTCTCCTGCTTTTCGATTTTACTGATCTATCGTCATAAGCAACAGCTAATTTTCGCAATACCAATGAGTATGTGACGGGATAGGTCGTACTAGGTCAGGTCAACCGCCACAAACTACATGAGCTTCGAGGGGGACAGAACTCAACACCTGGTTATGGTATCCCCTACGAACCTCCAGCTCTCACTGTAGAGTCTGCAGGGCCAAGATTGAGTGACACCTTATCAACTTTGAGCTGAGCTATCTCCACCTCTGTCAAAGATACGCTTCCGATAACACATAAGACGCCCAAGACGATGATAATGATGCTGGGAATGAGGAAATATAATGCAGCACCAAACGCTGCAGCGGTAGTCAGAGAAGCCCTCGTCATATCTCAACATGTGCTACCCACTGGCGGGCAAACAAAAAGCCCACGAAAGCAAAGTGAAATACCCTTCCACCTTCAAGAAATGCAGATTTCGACTCGTCAAAAATGTAGTCCCTACTAATCTATACCTCCAAATCTACTAGCCAGGAGGGCATCTTAAATACATGAGTTACTCGACAACCCCACGTCCGTAACGACTTTTGGATGCTAGGCTAGGCTCCTTCACGACAGTCACTCTCGACCAAGACTTTTCTGACATCTTTTCACTACCTTCGATTTGTCCTGCGGCATGAATCAAGGGAGGAGTAATGAGGAGGCTAGGAAGGTTGAGAGACACTCTTAGGTATACACAGGTCTGCTGCGCCCGGCTGGCCGGCCTCTTCGTCATAGGAGAGGCCCGCACCCAGTAGTTTTTGAGACTTTTCCCAGCAGCTACATACCCGCAAATGGCCATTGTTCCTGTTAAAGATTTAATCTGTCCATAACTCTGTGCTTGATGATGGCCAGCTAGACGAAGAAGATCATGTCCTGTCATTTAAGACAAAAGGGCGAAAAGGGCATTAATTAGAATATAGGACCGATATAGTAAGTGGTTATTAGCCCAGAGTAGGTATGGGCATTGTGAATGTAGTAGAAAGCATCATCATATTGAAGAGAAGTCAAGTGCGCGATATATATATATATATATATATACACGTGTCATATCCCTGTCACTAATTACCAAACCCCGCACTGCCATAAACACCATCAATCTCTGCTGTCCATCGCAATCCTGAGTATCAATATGAATTACTATTGTACGGTATGTTTGTACGGGTCGACATCAAGATAGAGATTTTAACAGCTCCATTGGCTGGAGAGGGGAGATAATGATGGGATAACGGCTCCTATTAGTGTGTACTCGAATGAAGACCTATGGGGGTATTACTGCCGGAGAGAAGTCGTGAAGGAAGCATAGGAGGGAGTACACTACCCGAAGCTTAGATACTTCCGGCCTGTAGGAAGAAAGGACCTACATATCCTCTCATAGTCACAGACTTTATAGGACAATAAACATTTATACTATACATGAGCCTCGTCCTAATCGAATCAAAAGTTTAGCGTAGGGTCTACCGATAAGTTGCATAACATTACATCTAACCAACTAGAGACCCCGTATTCTCCTTACGCTCAGCCACTTCAATGTCAGTCTACAAAGGAATGAGGTGGATGTCTTTGCCCTTCCAGACTTATCACTGCCTGGCATCTCATCCTTGTG